AACAAAAAAAAACATCGATTGAAATAAAAATTATTATCATACAATTTTTGTATTTGCGATACAGCGAGGAGGACCTTGACGACGTATTAATCTTGCAAACCCAATTGTACAAATGTGCACATAGTTTTTTGGGTAGAAGTGGTTTCGCTGGAAGTTTACGTGGGCCTAATCTTTTATGCTCGTTACCGCATATAACTTCCCGAGTGTATTCGAATGCCGCTACGACCGAACAATGCAAATGCACACAATCCTCAACAAGGACTACAAAAGCTCCAAGAGAGAGAGAGAGAGAAAAAACACATAGAGTATAATGATCTTATTTATAAATTACCATCCCTTTATTATTATTATTATTATTAAGATTATAGAATACGCGTATTCTTGTTTGAGCGGACAATCATTCATTAGGGTACGAGTGATAGTTGTCTCTCTTACACCGGTGCGAAAAATGTAATTACGAGATAAATATTTTCGATACGCTTTAAAAGCGCTTTAAATATTTAACACAGTTCTATAAAATAAGAAAAGTTTATCATTAGCGTAAGGTATAAAACGATTTACAACAAGAATCTTGCTCGAAGTTTAGTCATTTTATTGAATGTCCGAACATTGAAGAATTTTGAGCAAAAATTTGAGCTGCGTTATTTCCAAGCTAGTCTTATAAAAATATATTTGACAAATATTTTACATTAATCGTATGATGAAATTATGATGAAGGAGTGGCACAATAAAAAAACGCGATTATAGATACGATTATTATACGAATTGCCAAAGATATGTAGAAAGGAAAAAAAAAAAGAATCTGGAAAAGGAAAAGAAAAGAAAATATGTGATAATTTGCATGAGAATAATATATTAATTTTATCGAGCGATTTTTTAAATCTCTAAAGTTTTCATTATAAATTATCGAATTTTATCAATCAGTTATGGGTATGGCAAAATGCAATCCTATATTTTATTGTATTCGCGAACATTTGGAAAAAATATTACTAATTAGTTTCTTAGCACAAATTATAGATATATTATCAATAATTTATTTTATAAATATTACGAGATTATAGTAATATATAACTCTTATATCTTTATTTACTCTCGTGAGTATAGAAACTCGTTTTAATAATAATAATGATGTAACAATAACTTATGTTACTCACGATTTATAAAGTATATATATTTACATTAATATTCAAAATGTTCCTATATGCTTACTATATGTTTTTATTATGATTAATTTAAAAAAAAAAAAAAAAGAAAAAAGTAAAATTCGTCGACATCCATGTATCTGCATCTAGTCACAGCTAAAGGAATATTTTAATTACCATCGAAAAGAAATTAATTCTATAGTATACAGCAACACGCATGCATCTATTTATTTATTTATTAATTCATTAATTTATTAATTTATTTACGTTTAGAAGCAACTTTAGCTAAACGTTACAAGAAATGTTTTAACATATCGTAAAAAAAAGCAACTAACAATAATAATAATAATAATAATAATAATAATAATAATAATAATAATAATATATTATAACATTTTTATGCGATGCAAGCTGCTATTAGCAATTAGTTTAAATAATTTTCTTCTTTATTTATGTATTGTTTTTTATTAAAATATAGTATGCAATATTTAATATGTAAACAAGAAAAAAGAATATGGATGTCTCGATGCACGAGCAAGGCTATAATATTGAACACATTAATTAAGTAAGAATTTGTATAAGGTAAAGTTAGTATTTTACATTTATATACCGCTTTTTTCAACGATAGAAGCAAATGTAGGTATGAAAGATAGATTGTACAGGCACTCATCGAATTGGATTACGATGATGAAGAATGATGATGATAATGCTGTGTAGTTAAGCTTATTGTATTTAGAGCAGCAATATTTCCATCCACGTAATTCCGTCGATATTTTGAGAATTTACTGCTTTTTCTTCCAGATAAAAAATATTTTTTCACCCAAATGCTTGCTAAATATATTATTATATTTACTTGATATTGTATTTAAGATATAGCAAAGATGTGCTAAATGTTATTCACGATGATAAACCATTTCAATTTGCTTACTGTGATATAGGTACATTTTATGTATCATAAATGAGAGAAAAGAAAAACAAGAAAAATATGACACCCGTAGCGTAATTTAATAAGTCGTTTAATTATTTATGCGTAGTACATAATGAAATCGAAAAAATTTGCAAATGAATATTATTTAGAGAAAAAGAATAAAGGAAAAAATGTAGCATCATTCTTTATAAGATGCAGGCATCGTGTGTACTGCTGTTAGCTAATTGAAAAAAAAAAAAAAGATAACTCCAAAACATTGCTACAAAAAAAAACAACAATATAGGAATGGTTAAAAATAATTTACCTAACTATAAGCCTAATATTTAAAAAATCTATTATATTGTATTACGAATTTTATTTTACAACGAATAAGGATTAATTCGCTAGATATTTATAGATATTAATTATGCGATTAACACCTACGGTTGCAATTAATGCGGTCGCGATTGCGGCTGGCTTAGGATATGGAAGTGTTTGCTTTATATTAAAAAAAATTAAAAAGTTTAAACAAAAAAGATACTAATTCCATTTATAATGCATAAACAACAATACATATTTGTCTTGCTTGCACAGTGAAAATAAGATAACGCTATCGTTGAAACATTTATACCTATCTAAATGTGAAAGCATTAATATTTGAAAAAAAAAAAAAAGAATATTTAACAATATATTATACAGAGTATGAAAATTTTACTTACTAATTCTGATACATTCGTATCTTTATCAATAGATGATACAATACGTTTGATAAAGAACATACATGCATATCGTTTGTATGTATTATTATCTTCAACTTACAAAATAAAAAAACTGCGAGATCGGTTTCCTTCGAATTTACATTTAAAAAAAAAAAAGAAAGAGAACAGAAAATGTTTGATGTACGTTGTGTATCATTTAATAAGAATAAGTTTATAATTTATCATATGCGTAATATGCACAAAACAATATCGTTCACTTTATCAATAGAGAGAATATTTTATTTGCAAAAAATTAGATATATCGTTTAAATTAATTTAACTATACTTTATGGAATAAGTATTTTGAATAGTTATAAAAAAAAAAAGAAAAAAAAAGTAAAATATCTGCTCCTAAGTTTGGAGTTAAAACTGCCTTTCCTGTTAAAAAAAAATGATATACAGGCTTAGTAAATATTTATACTTAAACGAAGATTTACTATTAATTAATGAACCATAGCGATCATTTTACTTTTTATTTTTACCGATCGTTTATAATAAAACTAATCTATATATCTTTGTACTTATACACCTTGAGTGTTCCAAAAAAACTTTCGTTCGATTATGTCCCTACTATTTATAATTATGATTTCATTGTATTCTCGCGTAATTATTGAAATTACGGTTATTATTTTTTGTTTATATTATATTATGTTATTTTTATTTTAGATTATGTTAACACGTTCATTGCGATTTCTTTTATTAAAAATATGTGCAATAAGTCAATCATTTATTAATTCCGTTTCATTAATTTTATGAATAAACAGAACATTTTCAATTAAATTACAATGCATATAATTTTGAAACAAACGAAAAAATAAAAAATGAAAGAAAATAAGAAGCACTAGCAAAAACCATATACAAATATTTAATTTGAAAATTTATATAGGTGGTGCAAATGCAACACTCCCTTCCTACCTGTGATTTATAAAATTTACTAGTCAGCTTATTGCATTTACTTACTGATAAACACGTATAAGAATAATAATGATATTAATAATAATAATAATAATAATAATAATAATAATAATAATAATAATAATAATATTAATAATATGCTTTATACAATATAATATTATAATAAACATAGTTGCATAAATTATTTTATTATTATTACTAATCAAGTAACATTATAGCATATACTCAGATGCATGGCAACTGTATTAGAATGCATAGTTATTTTAAATGTAGTTAGTATGTAATATAAAAAAAAGGTACATCGAATTAATATCTTCAATATTAAAACATGACTCCCTTTAGTTGTTATAAAACTGAGAATTTTTCTAGAAGTTTTTCTTCGATCTTTAAAATGTAATACGGGATGCATTTACAATAATATTCCATGTTAAATCATATTTTCGCATTATAAATTTGTCATGAAATAGAAATAAAATCTCAATAAATAATATATAAAACGTATACGATATATCATAAGTTATTATTGTTATGACCTGATCATTATTATTATAATACAATGTTTATATCATTGATTTACATTTAAAAAGAAACCTATAAGGAATACAATTATATAATTTAAAAAAGTCAATCTTTAGCGGGAAATTTATTTTAAAAATGGCGGCATTGTAACATGCATATGCGCATTGTTTGATTATCCTATATTTATTAACTTATATTTAAATAAAAGCTCAATGCATTTAATTGAATAAAATTGTATTCAAAAATAATAATTTAGTATACATATTCTGAATATTATTAGCAAAATAATATAATTTCCAAAACTCAATGATTCTTAAGATTTGTAAATCAATTGATTTAAGAAATGACAGAACCGAAATGCGCATGTGTACTGTGAATCTGGTTATCCTATATTTATTAACTTATTTAAAGAAAAGCTCGATGCCTTTAATTAAATTAAATAAAACAAATAATACCATATAATATACATTATCTAAATACTATTAAATACATTTAACTGAAAATTTGTAAATATTAAATAAATTAATACGTATACCTATATAAATATATAAATTTTCAATACACAAAAATATATTATTTAAAAAACAAAGAAAGAAAAGATACACGTGTTACCTTTTTATTCTGAAATCATGAAAAGTTGCCTTTAAATAAATACAAATAATTGTAACCTTAAAATATATATATATAAGAAATATAATTTGTCAAAAATTGTTAATTTTATTCTACACGTAATTATATTACGTGATTGTATTTTATATGATCTTGCTATACCTATATATATATACCTGCAAATTGCCGAAAATTCGAAGGTTACTACAAAGGCGGCGGTTTCAGACAATATTTAGAGAAGAAAAAAATTGGCTCTATAGTCGTCTATAGATAGATAGATAAATTCCCCTTTTCTAACAACGATCGCTTACATTCTTCGAGAGAAATTCAAAGTTGACTGAGTTTAAATAAAATACGTGTTAAATAAAACCGGCGTTTATTGAGATACACGGCACAGATACCACATACATTTTAATCATTTTTTCTAAATGTATTTTTAGATCTTTGTCAACAACAATGACGTCATTAATAAAAATTGATGGAAGTTTGGGTGAAGGGGTAAGTGTTCATTTTATTCACATTAAATGTTTTGTAAATCGTATTGATTATTAAAATCATTGTCATCGTCGTACAGGGTGGACAAGTTTTGAGAATAGCACTGTCTTTGAGTGCACTTTATGAAATTCCTATAGAAATAAATAATATCAGAGCGGGTCGAACTAAACCTGGATTGGCAGCTCAACATTTGAAAGGTATGCTTGTAATATTTATCTGTTATCGAAATTAAATTGTTTAATATTTCTATACATTGGCTTTATGGTTGCATTATTTGTTAATACTTCATTCATTTTACAGGAGTTGAATTGGTGAAGAAAATGTGTAATGCTGAAGTTTCAGGAGCTTATATAGGATCTACGCATTTAGAATTCTATCCTAAATCATTGAATAAATATGAAAATGAATTTGAAGCTGATACCCAGACAGCTGGGTGTATATGTTTGTTGGCACAAGTTGCATTACCGTGCGCTCTATTCCTACCACAAAAATCTGATATTATACTCATTCTTAAAGGAGGTACTAACGTTCCTATGGGACCTCATATAGAATATTTTACAGAGGTGATCAGGCCAATGTTGAATAAATTTGGAGCGGATTTTGATTTTGTTGTATTAAAAAGGTATTCGTTATTTTCTTTTTTCTTTATATTTCATTTTTACATGTTCATAGTTTTTAATTAATATGTGATTGGAGGGGTTATTATCCAAAGGGAAAAGGTATAGTGCATTTACGTATAAAACCGATAAGAAACTTGAATGCTGTTCACATAACTGATCCTGGCATACCTCGTGGAATATCAGGTTGGGCTTACGTAGCCGGATCAATAAATATAAATGTATGTTTAAATAAATTACAAATATGTTAATTACTATTAATACATATTTTATGTTATAGGAAGCATATAAAATGGCTGGTGATGCTAAAAGCATCTTAACTAAAGAACTTAGTAAAAATAATATTCAAGTTCCTCCTATTAATATTGAATCATATAGAGAAGACAGAGGAATAGCCGTTGGACATGGGTCTGGTATTAAGTAAGTTTAATATAAATAAATAAAAAACAAGAAAGTCGATATTCAAATAATTTTTCTTTTATAATAAAAAATATTGGATTATTAATTTGAAAATATTAATAAACTATTTTTATTGAATTTAATTAACAGCATAGTTTGCTCGACAACAACAGGCTGTATATTTGGTGGTTCTGGTTTGGATACGGTACATAAAGGACCAATTTTTCCAGGTGTCAATGCAGCTAACGAAATTCTAGAACCGTTCCTAGCTAAATCATGTATAGATGAACATACTCAAGATCAAGTAAGCTATTTATAATAATTTTATGATTAATTTATTATTCTTATTATTATCGTTAATCTTTCTTTGTTTAGATAATAATTTTCATGGCATTGGCTACAGGGATATCAAGGGTTAGAGTAGGAAGCAAAAAACTTACTCTTCATACGGAGACTGCCATAAAAGTTGCTGAAATAATGTTAGCTAATCGTGGACTTCATTTTCGTTTGGTAGAAAACGAAAGCATGGGAGATTCGCCTTCGTATATTTTAGAATGCGAAGGATGTGGGTTGATCAATAATTTCGTAAAATAATATTGAAAATATGTTATTATACACGATATTAATTCGTGTTAAAATATTTAAAATAAAATTATTATTACATTAGAATCTGCTCATTCTCGTAAGAATTGAATTATTTTTACACGCATAGCAGTAATATTTCCATACTAGATTTTAATAATCTATTTAAAATCATTTTCTTACTTTAACTTTTATATGCCTTGAATATATTTATTGTACATCAACCAATTATATGCCTTTTTGTCAATTTATGTAATAAATGAACTTTTTGCAATATTAATTGGCAGTATTTAAATATTAACATATTTGATGGATAGTATTTTTGATATACAAGGAATGTAAATCCTTAATATTATTCCTGTTTTTGTCGAAAAAATGGTTCCATAGCTCGTAAAACTTCCTTTTCAAACAATTCATTAGAAAATCGATTAACGGATGCTCTGGAAAAAATTATGTTTCATCGAAATACACACAAATTATGAAGAGTTGATTATTTAAATATATTAACTACGATACCTTGCAGCTAATCTAATAGTCTTTTTATCCTCGGGATGCATATTTATGATATATGCTATTATTTTCGCATATTCTTCTGTTTCTTCCGCTAAAAAGCCGGTTTGACTACCAGGCTGTGTTTCTATTATGTCTGCTCTAAAATATTATATTATTTTAGTTAAAAAAAAGAAAGAAAGAAAAATTGAACAAAGTAATTTTTTCTTTAAATCATAAAATTGAAAAACAAATCATTTCTACACCTTGGTCCACCAGAAGCATGAGCTACCATAATTAATCCAGCAGCCATGCATTCTACTACACTGATACCAAAATGTTCATTCCACATTGCATGCAGTCCTATCGATGCTTTTTGTAATTCCAATACGAGTTCAGAATAGGGTATATTCAATTTAAATTCAACATTTTCATCCAAAGCAAAATGTTTAGACAAGTCTTGCATGTCTTTAACACGTACTTCATCTTCCGCGTCTCTGCAAGACCCAATAAACACCAAACGTATCTAAAAAGATAATCAATACTTTTTATTTATCTAGTGATTTGATTTTACAAAATAGAAACTATTTTCATTACTTTATCCCATATTTCTTCTTTAACTATTGACCTCAATTCGTACATAGTTCTCAACATTAGAGGATGATTTTTTTCTGGTCTAAATTGCGCAATAGACACTATTCGTATTTGATCATCTTCTCTAGTATCGTCATAAAATGGAAGAGATGTTAAATGTTGTACATCCGTCGGTGGATAGATTCTGTGCGTTCGCAAAGGACATTTCCAAATACTATTAATATGTTCCTCCGTCCAGGAAGAATTCACCATTATAATCTCTGCTGTACTACCAGCAAATCCATATAACTATATGAATAATTATCATATTTTTTAAATGCAATATTAAATATTTAATTATATATTTATACGTATATTAGTGCAAAAATATTTACCAATGCAAATAATCTATAATAAGCAATTTTTGCAGCAGATAAAAACGGATTTCTTGCTATTATACGACGATTATTATGTGATATTACACGTCTGTAAACATGTCTCAACATATCAGTCGAAATTGTAGGATAGTGAGTGTATGATCCAACTTTGCAACCTCCTATATATCTAAATAGTGGATATGTAAAAGCATAGCCCATTGTATCAATATAAATATCTAGAATATAAATAAAATACATATTACATAGCGCTCAACAAAATAATAATCATTTCTATTACTTGTTATATTACAATCTTACCTGGTACTAAATTATTTAAGGCTTCGATACCTAACCAAATGGAACCTAAACTTTGACACAAAAGTGTGAAGTAAGGATACATGCGTGCTTCTACCCATTTACGTTTATGAAGATACACGAACTCAATGTTCGATTGAATTTTAATATTAAACGATTTTTGTGATCTATTTAAAATCTGTTCAGGGTCTGCATCCAAGTCACCGGTATAAACAACTATATGTATATTTGGATATCTGTAGAGATCAATGAGTCGAAAAATAAATATGCATCTAACTTTAATATATTATCAAAGAATTTGTTAATTTACTTAGACTGTACAGCTTTAATAGTCGCCCAAAGTACTCTTTCACCTCCACCACCTGCATTACAGTACGGATGGAAAAATGCAACGACAGTTCCTTTTTGTTTCCTATTTGTACGCTCTCTTGTATATATTCTTCTCCAGTATATTATTAATATTGGTAATATAAGTAAAATACATACAAGTGTACAGACAATTAATATCAATGTCATTATCATTATTGATATTATAGGTGTCCTGAAAGAAAAATAATTTATTTAATATATTTTATTTGATTAGTGTTTTTTTAAGTTTGATATTACAGGATTCGCATACGATATTGAAAAATGATTAATATCAAAAATATCCTTACAATAAAGAATAAATATTCATATTCTTTCGTTTCCAATGATCAATGTATACAATAATAAATCTCAAATGTTGACGTGTAATATCTCATGTGGTATCTTTAATCTCTCCTTTTAAATCTAACCTAAATAAGTGTCAACGTCATTCCTACAATATACATAGATTATTACTAAAGTTGTTATTAAGTCATTATTAAATTATAAATTATTTAAATGTGCGATTTGTATTATTTTACCAAGTAATACTTTTAAATATGTTAATAACTTAGAAGAAACATAAGGTGTTTTCTAACCTAATTAGCAATGCCAGAAGAAAAATCTCTTACGAGAGATAATATAATATCAAATGACCCCTATTGCACTCTGTACTAGAACACTTGCATCATATGATATAAGTTATGTTTTATATCACGTTTTATAATACTTTAACTTAACTTAATCTTAATAATCGCAACACTGTTTACTTCATTACCAGCTAATTTTTTCCTTTTTTCCTTTATATGATAACGTTGAATTTAACGTAACAACTTCTTCCTTTTTTTTTTTTGTAAATTTGTGAAAACGATAGCGTAATTTTGTTCATTTTATTAAAAAGTGAATAAAGAATCAAGTAAGATATATTTTAAATAATTATATAGTTTAAATTTAACCATATATTGAAGTCCTTTCAATACCTACTTTCTTAAATTTAATGGGAACAGATTGTTATATTTAAAATCAACTAGTAATCTATATTTTATAAACAGGCAGTAATAACATTCAAAGTACACCATGTAAAAAAATGTATAAAAAGTAATTGTGATTCTTTCTTTTTTTGCTTCTTGGTGTCTTTTCATCGTGGCTTGTTAAATGCGAGGAAAATCTTTATAAAGGTGTTTTACATGCAACAAAATATTAAAAGCTGGTAAAAGTGAATTGTTAAAGCATACCAAGACCACAACGAAAAGAATTAGAAGAAACTGAAATCAAAGAATTGATCCCTTTCCCTATAGAAACTAATGTCAAAATAGCAGAACTGAGATATGTATATAATTCGTAGTAGAACAAAGTCAAAGTTTCTATTCCTTTAAACATGTTGATTAGATCTCGCAAGAAATTGTACCGGACCCAAATATTCTCAAAACAATAAGTCTTTCATCCTTAATAAAAAATGTTATTAACAAGTTGATTATTAAAAGAAGTTCACGCTTATTACAAAATAAATTATTTTCTGTACTCATCAACGAGAGTATGGACATATCAGAGACCAAAAAATTATGTATTTTAATGCAATACGTAAACGAAGACAAAATATAAATTTATTTATTAGATTACTTTTTCAGGTCAAGGATGATACGTTTGAAAATTTATACAAAAGCTTTGAATATACATTAAATAAGCATAACTTGCCTGTGAATAATATTGTTGGCATTAGTATCAATAATGCAAATGATATGATGGAAAAGAAGAACTCTTTTGTTTCTCATTTGTTGGAAAACAATGAAGAATTTGCTGTGTTTTCATGCATTTACCACTCAATATATCTCATTGCATGCTAAGCATGTAAATGTTTACCTTATTACATAGTGGAATTATTAGAATTAATGAATTTCTACTTTTCGAGAAATAAAAAGAGAAAACAATTGCTCGAGGAGATGCAACATTTGAAGGAAAAATCAAAAGTTCAATCGTACAAGACTAAATGGCTAGCATTGTCTGAATGTATTCAAAAAATATTACACCGATGGACATCATTATATGAAACATTTGGAATAGTACTTAAGAACAAAGATAAATCCCTCACTATCAATAAAATATTTAATAATTTAAATTGTATCTTCTCACAAAACTATATTTTGACTATATTATAACTGATGAAATGTTACAGTTTTTTAATCACAAAATATATACAAAAACATATGTACCAAATGAGCTTGCCGATATTCTCATAGAGGATGAAACTAAAGATGATAGTGATAGCGATTGTTAATATTCATTTATATATATTTGTATATTTGTATTACATATTTTATATATTTATAAAATGTTTCAAAAATGATCATTATAAATGGTTAATAAAGATTATTTTATAAAATATATAATCATATAAATAAATAATTTGTTTCAATTTTATTATGCATTTCTTTTTCACACTTAATATAACAAATAATAAATTTACTTTTTATTAATAAATTGTAATTTATATGTTTAAAGGGAAATGTGTTTGACTGTGAATTAACCTCTACTGTGACAAAACTGAAAACGTAAAAGTCACGTCACGTGACAAGAGTTATGTCTCATGATACGTCGTCACGATTCTAACTTAACTTTAGCTTTTATACTACTTTTCCTCAGTAATATGTAATTTTTTTTTTCTTTTTTTCTTTACAAAGCAAAGGAGAGCTTCCAATAAATCATAGATACTCGATTCCGTTTCGAATTTTTAAAAGATCGATTTTTTAGGTTAAGAGATCGATCTTTTAAATCGATTCTTTAGTTGATTCTACAATCGAGTTACAAGAACCAGTTCAAATAAAATGTCGAACGTTTCTATAATAAATATAACCTTGATATCAAACTGAAGTTAAAATATTCTTTAAATTAAGTTCTTCCAATATGTATTTATAGATTAATTAGAAATAAACAAAAAATTCTAATTTTTTTGTTCAGTGAGAAATGATGTTTGAGACACCCTATGTATATTTATATATATACATGACTAATACCAACACTGATTGAAAAACAGATTGGATTCTTAGGTACGATTTAAGTGCAGTTCGAATGATTGATCATATTTTCGTAGTATCACCCGATATATTATACAGAATCTCCTAGTGGTGTGTTAGCGACGATCCAAATGTCTATACCGTGTTACACTGTGTGTCACTTATTAAAATGAACTTTAATCGAAAGATCGGAAGGAGACAGTTTTAAACACATGTATCATTTGACAGTTCATTCAATTATTTTCTTGATCTTTCAATACGCTAGATTTGCAGGAATTTTCATTCCTTTTTCCACTAATTTTTACTTACAATAATACATTTTTGTTGTTTCATCTCGATTCGTGTCATTGTAGACGTTGCAAATTAAATTCAACAAATAAATTTTAAGATCCATCTCTAGTCTTCGTTGAAAGAGACCTTATTTTTATTTTTTAAGTAAAAAGTATGTTTTATTGTCATTTTTTCAAAAAGTTATGCTTTCATCACTAATACAACAAACGCGTGTGAATCCAATTTCAAAAATTGAATCTAAATATTTGTTGAGCAATTTCATGAGAGACTTTGAAGAAATCCATATGGTGAACGGTGTGTATTATTATATTGTTTGGGACTTTTTTTTTTATTTAGTAAAAAGTGAGAATAGTTATTTTTATTTGATGAGATCTTTTTCTTCGTTTATCTAAAAATGATTACAATATGCTTCTATGCTTTGTTCACATCTTTGGTCAATGTAGTTTTATTGTTCCAACTGAATGCCAACAAGTGTGATTTAACTTTGAATGGTTAGCGAGGAAAAGAAAAGAATCGTATGCATTTGTGTTAAAAGTTAATATTCTATTTGTTTTGATCATTTTGTAGAAGAGAATGGAGGTAATAAACATAGTAGAGTTTGATAACACCGGAACTGTTCAGAATACAAAAACTGAGAAATATATTTCAGGTATGCACATAATTAATAAGAGAATAATAATATTATTCATTTCTCGCTGTTTAAAATAAGAATATACATGTAAAACTTTTATTGTTGATCATTCTAAGAAATAAAATATGTTTGCAGGACAAGGCGATGAATTATCAATAACCAAGTCAGAACTTCAACCGTTAAATAAGCGGTAAGTATTTTTCTGTTCGATTATAACATTTTACTTATTTCAAATAAGAACTAAAAACTATTCTTGTACGTACTGTCATAACTGTTATCGTTACATTCATACAATTGCATAACTTATTTACATTTAAAGGAATATATTTTAACAGTTTAACTTTCATTATAATGTAAAATGGTTCGCGTTTATTGTCAGTCGTATACAAAGCCTACACCAGAAAATATAGACTATATTTTTATTTCGCAAACGAACATTGAAACTATTGTAGAAATGAATTAATTATTTTCCTTTATCGAACAGTCACGAATGATTCATTTAATGTCTTCTTTACTCCGTGTTGATCTTGTTTCTAGTGATAATGGTGCATTGTGAAATCAATCGAAGCTTAAACCATATCATAAATTCATCGATTGGATTAGACAAAATATTTTGTATAAAGACAATGATAATTTCTTTATCAGAAACAAAGAAGTTAATAATGGAAAACTGAATACCCCATCGATCGTATTCCTCATAAATATCTTACTTTCAAAGAACATACTTTTAAACAACAGTGCTATTCACTCTTAACGTTCAAGTTTCATTATAACTTCGTTATTTATGCAAACATATTAGTAAGTATTCTTCCTTATTTCCTTTAACTTGAATTTTAGATTACACTAGCTTTGAGACCTTGTTCGAGCTCTTATCAAAAAGTTTACATACAAACTTCAAAGAAAATAAAAACTGTTTGTTATTTAACGTTTACGTTTAGAGATAAACACTCGTATTTATTTATGGGACCAACTTTTAAAAATTATTAACAATATAAACCAAATCAAAAGAAGAGAAAATAAAGTAATAATTTGTGATATGGTTTAAAAATTCGCGCGTTATCTCGTTGATTAGATAGAGTCGATTTTAAAATTAGTTTTACGTAAGAAGTGAAACTTTTAGGACGATTCTTGAATTGAATAATAATGATGTGGCAATACAGTCGACTTCAAAATATTCAATCATTTAGGTGAGAAACATCGATCTAACGATAATTATAATTAATTGATCATTTAAAAAATACAAAGATACATTTTATAATTATCTGTTGATATTTATTTTTATTTAAAAATACGTGTGCGAAATTTTTGCAACACATTACTTGATCATTCTAATTGAATAAAGCAATTGCGTTTATCAAGTTAAATAGTTGTGATCAATTTAATTGATTCAAATTTTTTGTAAAATATTGTTTAATAATTAATAATCTTAATTTTGTTTAATAATTAAATGTTATTTTAAAACGCGAACACTTGGTCATCATTTATTAATTCGTTACTATCTTGACAACTGATATAAATGTTAGTAACAATATTCGAAATATCCACATGTTATCATTGTTTTTATAATTACGCTGTCTAAGTTTTGATAACTAAACAAAAATAACAATTTATGTTTTTTGACTCTATATAGTATTATAATATATTCAAAATGTGCACATTAAAACTGGAAAAATATTATTTTTCTTTTGCTTAAAAAGTTTGTAATGTTCGATGCTCCGGATAAAATAATAAATCAAAGTTTCTAATAGACAAAATAGTAACTTTCGTTTAATTCAAAAAATAATCATAATAAGCCAAAGTTATTTCCTTTTTTACAAATAATTTCATAATATTCTCAATACTTTTCGAACAATAATGTCACATTGCAATGAATGAATCAATGCAATGAATGAATCAATGCAATGAATGAATCAATGCAATGAATGCAACGAAAGGAAAGAAACAAAAAGAGAAAGAGAGAGAAATTATAGATCATAGATCATAGATCATAAATAATTGTTCTAAGAAGACCTTCGATTGCTTTTTTCTTAAATTACGTTCTAATGTGAATTTTCGTTCACATAGATTATCTAAAAACACCGTGTTCTAATTATAAGTAAAATTTTCCATTTCAGTCATCGTGATTCCCTGATAAAAAATTCTCTTGCGTACACGTGTTTTGCTTACACGTGAAATGCTTTTAAATCATCAACAATGTGCTTCGTTTAAAAGTAATAAACCTATTTCTCAGTAATGCATCATGTGCTGCATTGAATTGTCATGACAAATGCATGAAACAGATAAATAATACACTTTCGTGATTCTGTTAATATATAATATGCTTTTGTTGATGTGTGTGTACGTAATTATTAATTTCATCGATAAATGGAATCGCTTCATACTCGATTTCAAATAATCATTAAGTCATAGACACAAAATTATACTGGAACTTTTCAAATGATCTTTTTTTTGTTTTTAACTAAAATGTATGTTTTAAGATTTAAAAGAAGAATTTGGAGAACGTGAAATTCTTTATTTTTATTTCATTCATATAAAATAAAATAAAATAAAATAAAATAAAGACAAAAAAATAAAAATGTGCAAAATGAAAGGGAGAAAAAAAGGAAAGAACAAATATCTGGATAATACTTTTAAAAATGTCGAAAAAGAAAAGAAAAATAAAAATATGTATAGAAGAAAAAAGAAAATATCTGGATTAGAAAGGACATGTCCTGTAATTGGAACTGGAACACGCCTTTCACTATCTTTCTCATGTAAACCGTTAAACCGAAGTTATATTAAAGATCATTCTCATTTTCATATCCGTTCTCGATCGACAAACAAATACCGTTTATTTTCTCTTCTACGTTCACGTTAAAAATAGCAACTTTTATTTATTTATTTTTTTTTTCTTTTTTCACGAAACAAAGCAACAATTCTTTCCTGAGAATCGTGGAAAAAATCTATCGACCATTTTATCGCGAGTATTTATTATCCATTTATTATTCCTTCGTTGGTGCCTTAAGTTTACGTTTGTGTTTATAAAACAAAAAAAAAGAAAAGAAAAGAAAGTAAAGAAAACATTTTGAAGAAACATGTGGTAGAAGATATTCAATATTTAAAAGAAAAAAAAAACGCGAAGAAAGAGAGGCTACTTTGGTGTTCAATAAATAATCTTATTATTGGGACAAAACAAAAAATGTCGTAAAAATTGATGTCATATTATAAATTATACTCGATCCTTAATTTGAGATAGCATATTACAAGTTCTTCGTCATAGTTACTTCGGGAAAACTTTGTATATCTGTTTGTTAATTTAAAAAATAAAAAAATAAAAGGAAAATGTGTAAAGAACAAAAAAAAAACCGGTATAATAAATTACCGGTTTGATAACTGCATAAGAACTGATGCATAAATTGACGTCATCTCATCGATTATATTAATTTAAATTCTTCGTTTTATACTTAAGATTACGTCTGTTCGTAATAATCATTTTCGTTTTCAAGAATCTACAAAAATTATTTAATCAGAAGACTAAAATAAGACAAGAAAATTATTGCAATTATTCGATTACCGATTCGATAAATGTTTCGAAAAGAAAATGAAATGTCAATGACATCTCGTCGATTATTAATCAGTATTATTAATCTTTTGGAAATCTTTCAAGGAATTTTAACGTTGGAAAGTTAAGACGATAAAAGTGAACTCTCTCTCTCTCTCTCGTGTGTGGTTTTCTTTAATGGAATTTGTTTTCTCTAATTGGAGAAACTAAATGATAATATCAATCAAAAATTTGATTATCAAAAATGATTCGAATGACTGACAATTAACTTGATAACAGAAACGAAACTTTTGTGATACTGACTTAGTGTAAAAACTATAATTAATTTTTCGAATTTTCTGTATAATTTAAAAAAAAAATTTATTAAAATATTGTCAGTTATTGTCAAGACAAGTTATATTTAATTAGAAAATAATTTGTTGACTATAAGAACAAATCAATTATAGAAAATATTATTGTATTTCTTTCTCTTTCTATCTTTCTCTCTTTATTTCTTTCTTTCTATATCGATAGTAAAAAAGAAAAATGATATGAGTGCGATTAAAAAATTTGCCGAATCATTAGTGTACCGAACAAAATCAGTAGCTTTTCATAAATTTTCGAAAATGGGATCGCCGAAACGCGTTGAAAATGTGAAATTACTTGGGTTAGTATAATATGTATATTATCTAATTTATATCATATTATAATTATCGATACAAATACATTGCTTATCAATAATTTACTAGAACGTACATAAATATAAAAATTAAATCTTAATGAAAAATCTCTCCCCTATCGAATATATTAATATAATTTAAATGAAAAAATAAAATCAAATTTAGATTCAACGAAAAACTCTAAAAATATTACTTACTTTTTTTTTACATCGTTTTATAATTATATTTATATACATAAATAATATATATTATAAAAAAATAATATAAAAACTCTAATATATATACAAGAATATATTAAAAATAAATATATATATAAAAAAGATCTTTTCTAAAAATATTGATAATTACCAAGAAAAAAAAAATCAAATTAAATCGCGATATACTGAATCTGATGAAAGTTTGAAATGATCTAAAACTAGTTAAACGATACTTTTAAGTTCTTATACTTTGATCGAAGAGAAGAAAAGTGCCGTGAGCAAAAGTAGAGACCGCGTGCACAAATGAGGCACGTCGATATCCGATTAAAGCTCGAGTTATCAGTAGTACGGTGATATCAATTCGAGTCGAGTATACGGCTGTTTTTGTGGGTTACCTTACCCCACTCGTTGTAAGGAAAAAAAAAAAAAAGACAGAAAAATAATAATACACGAGAAGCGGTTAAGATCTGCGAACAATATTCGAATTCCGAATCCGAAATATTTCCTAAATCGTGTTCTTTGTTATATTCTACGTAATTCTTATGTCTATGATTTTTTTTTTCTTTTTCTTTTTTTTTTTCGTTAAAATTAAAAGTGAAACGTTCGAACAACGTGAATAAGGAGAATAAATTTTCATCGATTAAATTTATATATTACTCTACGTCGTCGTTTTCTTCTTCTTCGAAGAGGGGGAAATATCGATCGATTTTATTTCAATAAATTTGTATGAATTAATTGAAGAAAGTTAAAGAATAATAAAAAAATAAAAACGTAGATAAAAAACGCGTTATCGAAAATTGAAAACAATTACGTATTTTCTAGATCGTTTCTTATATCCTCGTTCGATTGAAATTACAACCGATAAAGATAATAGATTTTAATTTTTGTTAAAACTCGTTTGAATGCTAATTACCTATATATAAAATTCATTGTTTCAATTTAAATATACTCACTTGGTATGTTTCAACGTATAATTCGCTATATTACTTGGGAACAATTTTTGTGTCAAATAAAAATATAATATAAAATATGTTCTCATTTTTCGCGTTCTGGGGTATCTTTAAAATGATATCAATACATAATTGTTAAAACTCCGTTCATACAATGTTATCGTGATTCTAACGATACTGGATAAGAACAACTGATAAGAATCACCGAGTAAATAACAGTTAGACGAAATATACCGGGGAGAACTTTGTTTCCTATTCGAAAATTATTCATACTTTACGATAGTTTTTCCTTTTTTTCTTTAAACAATTTAGTAAATTAGAAACAAAATATATATACATATTTATATATATATATATATTTTTTTAAATAAACGCGTTAAAAGAATCTTGAGGTAAGGATTTCGAAAATTGTCGTAATGACAAAAGATATGGATAAAAAGCCTCTCCTTGGGCATCAAAATTATGACGCTATTGATCATTTTTGGTAAGGGTTGTGAAATTTTGTTTCTTTTCTTCTTAATCACCAACCACCAACCCGCCCCTCTTCCCCGCGCTCTTTCATACATTGTCTCCTTATATGATCTTTCGATTAGAATTCTTCCTTTTTTTCATAGTCAGTTATCTTTTCTAACCGGAAAGATAAAACGATCAATATTTTTCTTCTTCTTCCATACTTCTTTCCTCTTTTAATAAATCCTCGATAAACAAATACTGATAACTGTACTTATTGCACATACTAAGAGAACAATGATCACCATCATTGGATTCATCAAGAATTTTAGATTAAACCGCTAACAACGTAATATAAATTGCTTGAAAAGACAAAAATTTCAAACGAGGAAATTCCGATCTTACAATTAATTAAATTTTATCAGTCTCTATATTGATTACGTCGAGTACCAAATGTTTTTATTTCTTTTTCCTTTTTTTATTGTTTTGTTATAAATCACTTTGAAAGGGAGCAAGATTATAAGCAAACTTTCTTTTTTTTAGATCAAAAATGACGCGTCACATTCGAAAAGTCTATCGAATGAAATATTAACAAATATTTAATTATATTTTGTGTAAATGTTGAATTGTTTTTTTTTTCTTGCGTGAAATATTAAATATACGATTATTATTAACGATCTTGAAATTAAATCATTCCGATGCATTATTATTGAAAACGAAGTGTACGATAACAAGAATTTCATTTCGATTTAATCGAAATAACTTTTTTATACAATTATTTTGGAAAAGAAAAACATTGATTGACAAAAATCTAAATAAATAAAATAAATAAAATGAAATGAATTAAAACAAAAAAATAATCTGTTTTATCTCTTATTTTTTGTTCAGGGACGATGATGATGATATCGTTTACGAAGGAACCACAAATTTGGTACGAGTGCCACGCTCGAAGGAAACGGGATTATCCTTTGAAACCTCCTCGATTAAAATCCACGTAGACGGTATGAGATGTCAAAGTTGTGTTAAAAATATCGAGGGGACCATTGGAAGTCGTTCGGGTGTTGTAAATATTAAAGTAGATTTAAATGAAAAACTTGCTAACGTTGAATATAAGACTGAAGAAATGATACCAATGGAATTGGTGGAAGCTATTGAGGATATGGGGTTTACTGCCTTCCTAGTATCCGACGAAAATGATAAGAATAAAAATGATAAGAAGTCAGTAGTTACAACTTGTTTTATACATGTCAGTGGTATGACGTGTATGTCCTGCGTTAAATCCATCAAAAGTAATTATTTCTTTTTTCTTTTTTGTTATTGCATCAAATGATGCCAATAATTTAACATTATATCATTGATTTCTTTTTTTTTAGGTACTTTGTCAGATAAACCAGGCGTGAAGGAAGTAGATGTTAGTCTAGAGAAAAAGGAAGCTAAAGTTTCTTACATCATGGACGATATAACTCCTGAACAAATAGCAACGTTTATTGAAGAGTCTGGTTTCGATGCTTCCGTCAAAAATGAAAATAATTTTGTTAACGTGACAATGGAAAGTAAAAAAACAAATGGGGAAATCAATATGAAATTAAACGGAAGCGGAGATGTTAATACCATAGCACGTACTACCAAATGTTTTCTACATGTAACGGTATGCGATTGATTCTATTAAAGTTATTGAAAAGTACATATTTTGTTCTAGATGAAATTCTAATTTTTTAAATAAATGATACGTATTGTTTGGTTACAGGGTATGACTTGTGCATCGTGCGTTTCTGCGATAGAGAAACATTGTAAAAAAATATACGGTGTACATAGTATATTGGTAGCTTTAATGGCTGCCAAAGCAGAAGTAGTCTTTGATCCGGATAAAATAAAAGCCGTTGATATTGCTTCCAGTATCACTGAGTTAGGATTTCAAGCAACTGTGATCGATGAACCTGGAACTGGCGAAGGAGAAGTTGAATTAAAAGTAAGTTATTATTATTATATTTATGAATTCTGATTTGTTCATTAGGTATCATAATTTTTAATGAACAAACTTAGATTTTGAATTCAAGTAACACGTGTGTATATGTATTAATACTTATAATTAATAATAATTATATTAAATTATTATTTTAGATCTCAGGGATGACATGTGCTTCCTGCGTTAATAAAATAGAATCGACTGTAAAAAAGTTACCTGGTATACACTCGGCATCCGTCGCATTAGCGACACAACGTGGAAAATTTAAATACGATGCCGAGATCATGGGTATTCGAGATATTGTCGATAGTATTAATAAATTAGGATTTACAGCTACTTTGTTTAGTAATAAAGATAAAGAGAACAGAGATTACTTAGATCAGAAGTAAGTATTCTTTTATACTTTTATCTTTGTCCTGTTAAAATATATATTCACAGGACATGAAATATTATTTTTTCATAATTTTTTAAAAATTTACTTAGAGAGGAAATAAAAAAGTGGCGATCAGCTTTTCTAATATCTCTGATCTTTGGAGTACCCAGCATGTTAATAATGACTTATTTTATGTTAATAATGTATGTGGATGATAAGTCGCATGAAGCTATGTGTTGCATATTGCCTGGTTTATCTTGGGAAAATTTATTACTTTTCATTTTTTCTACGCCAGTTCAGGTAACAAAAAACACGTATTTTTTTATATCAAATATTTGCAAATGAATGTAACTCTAAATAAAAAATAATAATTGATTTTTTTTAGTTCTTTGGTGGATGGCATTTTTATGTTCAAGCTTATAAAGCTTTAAAGCATGGCACTACCAACATGGATGTTCTTATTTCCATGACTACAACAATATCCTATCTTTATTCTATCGCCGTACTTACAGCAGCTATGATAATGCAAGAAAATAAAAGTCCTCAAACTTTCTTTGATACTCCTCCAATGCTGTTAGTGTTCATTAGTTTAGGCAGATGGCTCGAATACGTTGCTAAGGTAAATTTATTTTATTCATCGTTCGTCGATTATTATATTAATCGTTATATTATTTTATTAATGATTATATTTTTTATAGGGAAAAACATCAGAAGCTCTTTCCAAGTTACTTTCTTTAAAAGCAACTGATGCAGTTCTGGTAACGTTAGGTCCAAACAATGAAATATTGTCGGAACGTTTAATAAATATTGATTTAGTTCAACGTGGTGATATATTAAAAGTTGTACCAGGTGTTAAAGTACCTGTCGATGGTAGAATCTTATCAGGTCAATCAACCTGCGACGAAAGTTTGATAACGGGTGAAAGTATGCCAGTGCCAAAAAAGAAAGGATCTATGGTTATCGGTGGTTCGATTAATCAAAATGGACCGTTATTAATTACTGCAACTCATACGGGAGAGCACACTACTTTAGCACAAATCGTTCGATTGGTTGAAGAAGCACAAACGAATAAGGCGCCGATTCAACATTTGGCTGATAAAATAGCTGGTTATTTTATACCTCTCGTTATAGTTGTCTCAGTTATAACATTAATTACGTGGATAATAGTAGGATACATCAGCGTAGATAAATTACCTCTGACGCACAATGATCAGATGCATAAAGAGTATACGAAAAGAGAAGAGATTATATTCCAATATGCTTTTCGAAGTGCTTTGTCTGTACTGGCGATAGCTTGTCCTTGCGCGTTAGGTTTAGCTACGCCAACAGCCGTCATGGTTGGAACAGGTGTTGGCGCATTGAATGGTATTTTGATAAAGGGTGCTGAATCTTTAGAAAATGCGCATAAAGTCAAATGCATTGTATTTGATAAAACTGGCACATTGACGCACGGTGTACCTATGGTAACTAAAATAGCTCTGTTTGTAGATGAAAAAATATGTTCCATAACAAAGTTATTAGTAACAATCGGTACGGCTGAAATCAATAGTGAACACCCGATTGCATCAGGTAATAATCCAACTATTAACGATTCTATTAATATTTCACATTTTTAATGGTGTATAATTTTACGTTATCGTTTTTTAGCAATCGTTCGTTTCGTGAAGGAAACTACGGGTACGGAATCTACCGGACAGTGTACTAATTTTCAAACGGTTGCTGGCTGTGGCCTAAAATGTAAAGTATCGCATTTTAATGCAGTAATATCCGATGCTCTGAAATCTGAAAAAATAATCAATTATATGAACCAAACAAAGAAAGTATCTTCTGGAACTTTTAATCTGAACAATGTGCCAATAGATATTGTACCTTTTGTTATTGCCACACAAGAGAAACAAAACTTAGATCTGCAATTATTATTAACTCCTGAAGGTAATAGTGATCAAATAGTCTCGAACGAGACATATGAGATTTGTATTGGTAATAGAGAATGGATGAGGAGAAATGCCATTAGTATACCTCAAGAAGTTGAAGCACAAATGATGGCCGAAGAGGATCTTGGTCACACTGCTGTCTTAGTTGCTATGAATAATATTTTAGTTGCTATGATCAGCGTCGCTGATACAGTTAAACCCGAAGCACATCTTGCTATTTATACGTTGAAGAAAATGGGCTTACAAGTAATCCTTTTAACGGGAGATAACAGAAAGACAGCGGCTTCAATTGCTAGACAGGTAAATAAGTAAACAATTAATAACATAATTGTATATATTTATAATACGATATGTTATTCTAGGTTGGTATTACCCGAGTTTTTGCTGAGGTTTTACCATCGCATAAAGTTGCGAAAATTCAACGATTGCAAGATCAAGGCTTTAGAGTTGCGATGGTAGGAGATGGTGTTAATGATAGTCCGGCACTTGCACAAGCAGATATTGGAATTGCAATTTCTTCGGGAACTGATGTTGCTGTGGAAGCAGCAGATGTCGTATTAATGAGGGTAAGTTGGAGAGAAACATTTATAAAAGATTTATGTTTAATATTTCTTATTTCTTTTAGAATGACCTTTTGGATGTAATCGCGTGTCTGGACTTATCTCGAAGAACCGTACGCAGGATAAGACTTAACTTTTTATTTGCTAGCATATATAATCTTTTGGGAATTCCAATAGCTGCCGGTATATTCAGTCCATTTGGTTTCTTTTTATTACCATGGATGTCATCCGCGGCGATGGCACTTAGTTCAGTGTCTGTGGTCGGAAGCTCTTTATTATTAAAATTGTAAGTATATAAAAATGAAGTTTACATAAATTATAATATTATATTAAAATTTTAATAAATAACATTTTCTCTTATTATTTGTTCTATCTTAGATACAAAAAACCTACAAAAGTGTCATTAGAAACACCAGAATACTTAGCAGCAATGCAGGCACACTCGACAGCCAGAATGATTGATCTCGATACAATATCTATTCATCGTGGATTGGATGAATCAGTAATGCCTGTACTAAATAGAACAACATCATCTCTCTCAAGGTATGATCGAACGAGTATACCCTATTCAGACTTCTTGCAAAATCGTAATAACCCAACGGCTTAGAGACATTTCTGGTGAAGTTGGATTATTTTCTTTTTTTAATAATATCGCTTTTAAGTTACTTAGTTACTAACAAATCGAACATATGAATTTTTTTTGTTGGTTCTAATATCTAATTATTATACTCATATCTTCTTTTTATTCTTCTTACTAACTTTTTATACTTGCCTACGTTGAATTAATATTTAACTAGTAGTATAATATAAATGTTGTAGTCAATTGTAATCAACTTATTAATAATGCAGGGTATAAACAATGTTGTCACTCTTGTACCTTTCACTAGATTGTATAGTAATAAACTATTTTTATTTCTTTTTTAATAGACATATTTTCTATATATTTTATATCTAATTTACTGTTTCTAAAAAAAAAGAAAAACAACACATATATATAGGCTGTGAATTATGAACAAAGTTTCTTTCATTTAAAAATATATATAAAGATAAATTATTATAACTTTAATTATAATATTTTGCAATAATCAAAATTATGATAAAAGACTGATTGTTCGCTGATATGCAAATACTATGATTTAATGACTTGAAGAAAGTTATATCCATTTTTATAATGCATGTATTCGTCTTTTTGCACTTGGTCTATTGTAAATATTGTAAATATATATTTGATTAAATGTTTTGTTATATGCATGTATTTAATTTCTCATGTAATTCCAATAATTAGAAAAGATTTATATATATATATATATATATAATCTAGATATATCAAATGATTCATTGTATTCAGATAGTTGATATGTTATTTATTTTTTAAGTTATTATTTTCTGTAAATTGTCTATAAAATAAATAACAAGAAAACAGAGAATAGAATGGATTTAAAAAAATCCATTTACCAGGCATGTGCTAATAAGTGTGTTCATTTCAAATTGCATGATACATTGTATTCAAATTATGCGCGCGTAGTATTTGTAGATAAATATAATAATACATAGATCGTAACATTATGTAGTGATTATGCTTTTAGTAAACCAACAATTCAAAATAACAAAAGAGTTATCCATACTATTTCTAAAATTTCAGCTAATAGAATGCCATTGCAATTGGATTTTTTTGAATCTATTGTTTGTCTGCATTAATATATTATTTAATTTTAATTACCGTTATATGGTGTATATTTAACGCTTCGACTGCGAACAGTACTTATAGGTGTCGAGTAGAAGTTGTTCTTTTGATATTCTTTTTAGCGAATAAAGTGTTATTGTCACATTTTATTTCTGAGAATTATGTAGTCGAATGACTAATATTTACAAAAGAAATGTACTTTGCTTGCAATTTTCTTTTTTTATTTTAATTACCAAATTAATATGGTACTATTTTATTCTGTTGCAAATTAAATAACAAACGCTTTGTATCAAGACTTTTATGTAACAATTATATTATGTAATTGTAAAAAGTTTCTTTGAATGACAAACCATCGGTAAGCTGTTTATTGAAGAAATCTTAAATAGAAAACTAACGAAGAAATAGCTGCTTTGTAACATAACTATTAATAAGAAGTTATAAAGATATCAGTTCTTTATACATTCATTCACAGGCTTTTTGGAAGGACAAGAAATGAAATTGAAGGCAGACTACTTGGTGAAGATATGGATGATACTGATTTAGCTATCGATTTTCTTGATTATCGAAAAAGCAAAAAGGATCTTACAAATATAACACCTTTATAAAAACTATGATGATGTAAGTTTAAAAGTCACTGTTATTATTATTAGTATTATTATTAATTTTATCTTCATTTAATTAATCTGTCCATGTACATTATTACCGATCGTCGTTTTGTACCCGTAATTAATCGTACTATTAATTTGACATTTAAGTTTCTATACGATAGTTTTACACACATTATGCGTTTCATTATTTGATATATTATTAAAATAATAAATTAAAAGCACGTCGTTAACTTAATATAAAAATTCATTTATCATTTACCTACAAAATTTTTAAAATTATTATCTAACTTTTACTACTCAGCAATTCTTTTTACTAAAGCAAATATTTTTGTGACCTTATATACACAGACTCTGTTATATATTCTTTTCATTGTCATAAGCGCACATACATTCTATGTATGTAGTGTTGCTAAACTGCTTTTAAATTAATTTTCGATTGATGTGAGTCCAGGAATATTTTAGTTTTGTTCAAATTTCTACGACTCTGTATGGAGTTACAACTTATGCTTTGAAAACCCTGATTTAATCTACAAGTTATTAAAAGGTTATTCTTTTGTAAATATCCCTTACAAAAGTTTCAAGTTGTACTTAGCATATAGCATTACATGAATAATTTATTTAAAACAATTTATGTAACAAAACAGCTATGTGTGTAAGTTAAAGATATAATATTTGATCATAAAAATTATTTAACTTTTTTTACGTTTTAATAGACAATAATTTAATGAGAACGAAATAAAATATTATCAAAATATATATTATATATTTTTTCATGTTAATATATATGTATATATTATATTATTATAACGTTTATTTTCATGTTATTTAATATTACATCATGTAACAAACATATTGAATTTGAAAACAAGATTTGTCTATGTTATACACTTAATATGAAATATTTTATACAATGTGTAATTGTACCAAATGAGAAATCAATTATAACATACGTGCATATTTGCTATCAAATTTTTATATTGTATATATCAATATCATGAAAGTATGTAATTATTATTAAAATAAATGAAATTTGTCCTGCATTATTAATTAATGCATTGCAATTATTTCCGCATACTTTCTAAGATGTTAATTATCAAATAAAAGATATTTAATATTGGAATATTAATACAAACTTGTCTTATATTTAGATAGATTTACTCTTAATTATTTTTTTGTAGATCATAAATCTAATTATTGTCAACAAATATATATTTTTATTTAACTTTAAATTTTATTCTTATATAATTGAGTCATAAATGGATGTTTTGCGATACCATGAGTTTTTGTACTTACTGCATTATGAAGCTAATTAGAATTATGTTTGAAATATCCATCATATTTATACATTTGTGCAATACAAGTTCTGATTAACAAGAGCGTCTGTATTATTTGAAGCAAAAATTAATGTAACAATATATTTTCCAAGAACAGTTATGGATTGTTCTTTTTAAATAAATGTACTTTTAATCTAAATATGAATGATTTCATTTATTCAAAACTTTTAGAGAATAAATCTAGCACTGAGGCTTATCTTCAAAAGCACATAAACTGTTATGGACCGTTTTCAGATTTTTTTCAATGTATCGTTATGCATGCTAATAATTTATTCTTAAAATATTGCTTATTCTTTATTACTATATAATTTTTCATATGGAAAAAGATTTTTTATTCAATTACATATATTACATAAATAATAATAATAATAAAATAATAATAATAATAAAAATAATAATAAAATAATACATGCAATAATATAAAAAGTAATAGCAAATTAATATTCAATATTTGATCAATTAATCAATTAAACAATCAATGCACACAATACTTGATCCCATATCGTATCTATAAACAATGTTAATAAAATAGAAAATAATGATAAATCTTTGATACTTTAATTATAACATTCGATGAATATTTAATTATAATTACTTACTTGGGTAAAGAACAATTATCGCAGAATAGGTCATGGCATTTCATACAATTATTTAAACAAGAGGGACATAATAACTCTTCGCAGTAAAAACATTTATTCGATAAACTTGGATCTATTACTTGGAAACATCTACAAACGTCTACGTTTTTATCCTAAAAAATAATATCATTCTTTAAATCCAACTGACAAATATGAACAATTTTGAGAACTCAATACGTACGAGTTTAACATTATCATTGTTTTCTAATTGTAATTTATTATTTAAAACCATTTGTTTGGAAGCACGTTGGAGCTTTATTAATTTATGAGAAGTTAACAATGCTGATGGTAATTCAGTTAAATCCACTTGATCGTTATTCATATTTTGTAAATATTTTTTAGCGCCTTTTTTGAGTAAATTCAAGGTTTTATCTGGGATGATAAAATGTATTAAAAATAAAGTGTTTTAGGTTGTCCAAAAAAGTTATTTCATTAAATATTTTGGGATAACTGAATATAATATTTTCAAAAAATAATCAAAGAAACATAACCTCTTTACCATAAACTTCTTTCATTCGTCTTTCTTCATCAATTCCAGTATCTACTTGTCTTTGTCCTACGTGTATTTTTAATTGAGGAAGTAAATTGGCCTCGTAAGGATAACTTCGTTTAGTCATTTTTATTTAATTTATAAAGAACCATTCAAATTATATAAATTCCTAAATTCGACGATTAAAGTAATATAACCACAATTTCTCAATGATACGCGAATTCAATTAAATTTATTTAACATTAAATCACTCCAATAAATTATTCCAATAAATTATTCCAATACATTACTCAACAAATATTCTTTGAACTAAACCTACATTATTGATATTTATCACGTATTCGATATTTGTAAACAAATATTTATATACCTGTTCAAATTATCGTTATCAAATTAGCATTATAAAATTGTCATAACAAGATATACAATCTATCGATAATTACTATTCATTTTTGGTACACAAAACTTTTTTAATTGTTTATTATTCATATTTCTTTTCGATATTCCTGAAATTTTTAATTTTAATATTTAAAAATAAAAAAAAAATCAAACTCGAATTTTTTAATTTGCCGCGCATGCGCGGAGACGAGCGACTTCGTAACGCGCGAAAGACGAATTTGGAATACTTTATCAATTTATTTTATTTTTTGATAAAAGAAAATAAATCATGTTGTTTTTTAAGATGAAAATGTATCAATACAATTAATATATAATTGATGAAGAATTAAAATGCAATGAAGTTAGTAATATTTGTTTATTAGTAATGTTGCATTATTATTATTACTTTTATACATATTTGATATTGGCCATCAACAAATATGTTACACTTTTCTTTTTTCATTACTTCTAATTCGCGTCGTATTTTTCTTTCGTTTAGTATTTTTTTCTTTTTGAAAATTAACGACATACATATCTTTTTTTCTACTTATGCTTCGTTCTCTTGTTTTTTGTTTGTTCGTTTATTTTCCTTCTTTCTTACCTCGTTTTATAATAATACATAATAATTTATAGTCGTAGCATGGCAACCATTAGTATTTTAATTGCAAAATGCGATAACTGTGTGCTCCACCGCAATTATCAGCTCGTTCCACAAGTAAAACGTGTGAAATAACATTAATTTATAAATTAGTCAATAGAATACGTAAAAATAAACCTATAACAAACGATACATACGTATATATAATATATAATATATTATACATACATATATATAAATCGTTTCTCTCTCTTTGGTAACCGTTGCATGTCTGATTAATTACAGCGGACATCATATACGAAAAAATCACTATGATGCGCCTCTTAATTATTCGGGAATGATAATTCTCTAAGAAATATATAATTATTAATTCTTAATTTCAATTTTGTTTACTTATTAGCAAGACCGTGAGACGATTGGATCACAATACGCGTACACCGTTGCTTGATTATTATTATTATTATTATTTATTAATTATTATTATTATTATTATTATTATTATTATTATTATTATTATTATTATTATTATTATTATTATTATTATTATTATTATTATTATAATTATTAAGAAAAAGACGGCGATTTGTTCTACTTCGAGGAACACGGATTGAAGGGTTATGTGTTGTTTGTTCATCGTAAAAAAATAGATCACTGCAAGTGCACTGAATATGTTGCATATGGGTACCTTGTTCGTTCATGCGTAAAAACGAATTACGCAATTGAAAAGGATTAGGTGAGGAAAATCTACAAGAAAATGAGAAGTCGATGAGCGATTCGTACAAGGCAGAGACGATCGAAGGAATCGAATTTTTGAATTTGCCGCGCACGCGCACCTCATAGCCCGCGTAAGACAAATTTTGAATACTTACTTCGCCATTATCTTTTTTATTTTTTATTTTTTAATAATACGCTTGATATTCATTCATTCCTGTCGATCGATGTGAATTATTACTATCCAATCGGAAAACTATTTACATATACAGTGTGTTTCATCGTATGTGGAACTCATTTCAGGAATAAACAGGGAAACACTTACAATGAAATATGTTCATACAAAAATGTGTCTTATTTGACATTTGTTTCAAAGTTATAGCCAATAATCCAAACTTTATGAAACACTCTGTACATTTATATGACGTACGTGCCTTATGCGATTCGTATTTTCTCGTGCACAGAGTGAGTACAAAATACATATATCATATAATACGTGTATGTTGGATGTGTGTACGAGTGTATATGTATTTTTTTTCATTATTTTCTCCCTCGTCCCCCATGTTAAACGACTTAAAAGCTTTGTAAAACGTTCCCTTAGTCAATGTTCTCTCTTTTCGTTCATATATATATACATATATATATAGATATCTATTTATGTATTTACAAATACACAGAGAAGCAGATAAATCGTGCAAAGCGTTATGATGGCTTCTAATACGCGCTTCAAAATATATTGGCAATGCGTGCATTGACGTTTAAATTTCATGAAAGATCATTAAGTTTAATTAGATTTTCGTTTGCTTAAAAATTTATCGGTTTGTTGTTGACCATGTTATTTAATACTAAACATATGAATTGTATATTTTTCTTTTTTTTTTTTGCATTGATGCAAATTGTTTCTGATTAACATGTGTCATAAAAATTTAGGAATCAGTGCACGCCACATTTTTTAACGCGTATGAGGATCCTTATTGTTACAAATTACAAATTGTCTTTTTTCTTTTGCAGAGAAAGAGAGAGAGAGAGATAGAGAAATAGAGAGAGAGAAAGAGAGAGAAAATAAAAAAGAATATGAGAGATAAAAAGCAAAAGAGAAAGAGAGAAATAGAAAGAGAGAAAAGAAAGTGTCTTGCACTTACAGTCGTTATTGTCAGTTGTCATGGACGTTTTTTTCTGCATATTATCGACATTAAAACGATTCGAATATTTGAAGGATACACGGAAAGTTTTGATCTGACACACAGAAGATAAATTAAAATATATATATATATATATATTTTTAAAACTATTTTTCTCAATCTTCACCTTCCCCTTCTTTTTCCACCTTCTCCTCCTCCACCATCTCTCTTTCTATTTCTCAAAAAACAAAAATAAAACAACAACCCTCTTAACTCACACCGAACGTTAAACATTTAGAATCGTCGAATAATCCTAATTATTTTTCTGTAATTATCTTTATGCCTTTTTCCGAATGTTCTGCAGTGATGTTTCTAAAATAACCGTAGAAAGTGGTCGCTGCATTTTGTTCTCTTTTTTTTTTTTTTATTCTCTTTTCTTTTATTATACTTAAAAAGATATTAATTAATAAGAATGTGTATGTGTGTCTGTTCGTGTATTCGTATTCTCGTTTCCAATGTACGACGAACGTTTATTAACGTTATCGGATGATAATCATCGCGTAGATTAAGCTAAAATTGTTTATTACGTTAACGAAGGATCTTAATGAGATTTTATTCTTGTTTTCTTTTTTTCATCATCTAATCATTTTTTATAATGTTTCAAACAACATCTCTTTTCACTGATATGTCGCTCCAATGAAGATATTCTGGTCGATTTTTGTTCAAAAACACATTGATTTATGACATCTGATTTATATCTTTTATATTTTTTTCTTTTTTTCTTTTTCTAAATAACAATGATAATTCAACGATGATCCTCCGTAAACGTTCGTGCGATTAATTTTTTCATAATTTGGTTGTTCTTTTCATTTTCATTTTAAGTAATTGTAATTATTAATAATTAAATACATTCGTCGGCTCGTCGGAGGATTTAAAAGCTTGCTTTTTTGTTTTGTTTTGTTTTATTATTATTATTATTATTATTATTATTATTATTATTATTATTATTATTATTTTGTTTTTTTATAATCGATGAAATTCATACATACATATTACACACATGTACATTCATCCATACACACGTACATACAACAAACAAACAAACAAACATACATACATACATACATACATACATACATACGCACACATTTTCGAAGCGTCGCGTCATATCGGTCACACACACGATCATTTGTTATTTTTTTTATTTCCAATTATTATTATTATTTTTATTCATCGACGCGATTTTTTCGTACGAAGTCTCTCGACGGAGGGGCCAGGGAACAAAAATTCGTTCAAATCAAAAGAATTAAGACGAGTGACAAATAAGTTTTTTTTCCTTTCTTTTATTATAATAATTATTATTATTATTATATTATTATTATTATTATTATTTATTTTCTTACGTATGTAGATTTATCTAACAGCGTGACGTATATGACGTTTAAAAAGAAGCGTCTAAACAATAATATATATATATATATATAAACAAAATTAATAAATAAACAAATAAATAACATAACGTAAAAACAATTTTAATAAATATTTATGATTTATCTATTCAAAAATGACCGCTAGAGATTTATATACTTTGGTACTTACGTTACAATTTAAATAAAAATTTCACTAAATCTTGACTAACTAAGCGGACATTTTCTTTTGTCGTGCGTTAACAATCTTAATTACATATACACTTCGCATATTACACATTGTCAATTTATATTGTAAATTTATGGAACAATTTTCTTTTATTTTAATTTATATTGTCAATTGACAATGTATATAAATATATATGGTAAGTATATGTTTAGTTGTAAAGATCGCACGACATAGTCCTAAGAGGAAGAGAGAAAGAGAGAAAATGTGTGTTTGAGGGATACAGATAGAAAAAGAGAGAGAGAGAGAGAGAGAGAGAGAGAGAGAAAGATTAAGGGTGTGTGAGAGAGATATATATATAGTGAGAGAGAAAGAGTGAGATTCATAAGGAATCAACAATTACACAATTGGTTTAGAAACAGCACGATAATAATGAATAACAATCACAAGCAAGAGAGAGAAAGAGAGAGAGAGAGAGAGAAAGTGTGTGTGTGTGTATCTTACAATAAATAATACAATGTCGATATAAAATGGTACACTGATGTGTGTGTATGTGTGTGTTGGTTTATTTTTCTGGGTTAGAAATGTTCGTAGTTACGATCGATTTGTTTTTAAATTTCATATCTTTTTATACGATTTAAAAATGGCGATTACCTTGAAACGTGTTACATAGATTTAATAAGCAAGCGACACGAGCCTGTGATTGTGCAAGTAAGTAATTAAGTATGTATGTATGTATAAATGTATGTATTTATGTATGTGTGTATGAATGTATAAATGTATGTATGTATATATGTATGCATGCATGCATGCATGTAAGTAAATGGTACATACATACATACTTATAAATGTTTGAAGAAAAATCTGTCAATAATAATAATAATAATATGATGATAATGATGATGATGATGATGATAGAAAAATTGTTAGCATTTAAAATTATATAATCGATCGAACGCGTATCGTGCCATTATAAATTGTATCAAAATTTTCCTAAATATCAATCGTCATCGTCATCGTCATCGTCATCGTCGTCTTTGTCGTCGTCGTTTTCGTCGTAATTCCTCGGCTGCCATATAGCTTATCAATGTTTTTTACAATTAAATGTTGTCAAAGAGAATTTTTTCTATAATATAATATAATATATAATATAATATAATATAATATAATATAATATATAATGTGTAATATAATATAATATAATATGCCTGCTAAGGTTTGTGTGTCCTCATCGTCACGTCGTGATATCTCTGCGACCAGATTTAGCGTCGTCGAATTCGAAACAAAATGGCAGATCGAACCGAAGGTAATTATTTTCCTTTTTTCCTTTTTTTTTCTTTTTTTCACACTTAATATTTATATTCTTACATAAATACATGAGTACATTAGATAAAAATTGTTGAAAATGAGTGTCAATGTTTTAATTGGAAATTTTGTCTCTTATAGCAAAAAAAAAAGAATTATCATAGGAAAAATAAAACGAAAGATATTATAAAAGCAATGATGTGCAGCAGATGCAACGTTTCATGGTCGCAGAGTAATCGCCGACACGCAAAAGCGAATAATCGAAAAATAAATGGGAGACAACACACGTGAGAGATTATTATTAGTGAATATTCTTCTGCGTTTTTGTTTGTTTGTTTGTTTTTCTTTTTTTTTCTTATTTTTTTTTTTTCGTACACAGACAAGACCAATCCCGCAAATATACGCGATTTTTAAGTTACGACACAAAACCAGGAGGCAATTAGCATTATTTCTTTTTCTCTTCGGTGACATTTTTGTTTTTTACTCTCTTTACATAATTTCTTTTTTTTTTTAATTCCGCACAATCCTCCATACTTTTTGCGATTACAACATTCATCATACGCGGGGATTGTATTATTGTAATATTTTCATTCATTCCGGATTCAGTGAAGTATTATTATCGAGCTATTATTTTCTTTACCCTCTCTTTTTCTTCTTCTACTTCTTTTTCATCTTCTTCACCATCATCTTCTTCAATATATTGTTCTTTTTATTTTACTTTATTTTATTTTATTTTATTTTATTTTATTTAATTTCTTTCTTTAATTAATATTATTATTAAATTTTTTTTTGTTAGTTTCGCACGATATAAAATCCTAGTTTAGTATGGCCGGTAATTTGTTCCTTCTTTATACTCTTTCTTTCATCCTTTTCTCCATCTTTATCTTTTTCTTCTCCTTTTTTTTTTTCATTTAAATTCCCTCACTTTCTTTCTTCTTTCTTCGCTATTTCTTCCTTATTATTGTTATCGTTATTATTATTATTATTATTATTATTATTATTATTTTTATTATTTTTATTGTTGTTGTTTTTATTTATACTTATTATTATTTTTCTTCTTATTATTATTATTATTATTAATGTGTTATTATTATTATTACTCATTATTATTCATTATTATTATTATATTTATAATATCACTTATAATAGAAATAATTTATATATTTATCCGCAATTATATAATAAATAGATAACCGCAAGCTTACATCTAAATTTCACAAATTTTGTTAATAAGTAGTGGTGTGACGTTACACTAAATAAGATTCGTTTTGACTATCTAATTACAATAAGAACTTTTATTAAACTTGAAAACCTTTTGCATACTTCGCTCGTTATCGTTTTTTAATCATATCCTGCGAAATTCGCGTTGCAAAGCTTTCATTTAAAAAACCCTAATTATGATGTAGTATTTTCTTTTTTGTTAAATATTCAAATCATGAATGAATCAAAGTTTGGGGTGGGGGTGGAATGTTGATTGGTGGGGGAATGTTGGCGGTAGGCAAACGAATCGTCCCTTTTCAATACTCGAATGGCAGACATTTTAACTTATTTTTTGTTCTTCTGGCGTTAAGAAATTTTGTAAAAAAGGAATTATTTCCTATTGGGTCGATTATTCGACCAATGACGAACGAAAGACGTGAAAGAAAAGTTGTCACGTGACTAAGGCAAACAGGTAAACGAAATGATTCGAACAAACTTTTTCTTTTTGTTTTTTTTTCTTCCTTGTTTCTTTTTTTTTTACTCTGTGTGTCAGTGTGGTGTGCAAGTGTAAATTTTTGTTTTCAACGGTATGGCCATCGTTCTCATCTCAAGAAATATACACAAACATACATACATACATACATACATACATACATACAAACACACATACATACATACATACGTACAAAATGACATATTATGCACACATAAATACACACATACATACGTACATTAAATTTTCTACTTGAATTAATCGAGAGACAAAAATGGGGTGGGCAGCAGGGCCAGCGGCAGCGGGGAGGGGGTGTTTTGCGGATGATCGATCACACTCGTTTTTATTTCGTTTTTCTTCTTCCTAACTTTCAATTTCTTTCAATTATCGCATAAAACAGTCGTTCGAAAAAACGCCTTATTATTCGGCTACTTATATATAGGAACGAGTCGCCGTGTGCGATATTATAATAATAATAATAATAATCATTATTATGTATATATATNTATATATTTATATATTTATATGTGTATGTATATATGTCTAAAGCGAGAGTTATCGGGGACCAACCGCTTCGACATTAAAATTTTTGATTCGAACAAACATTTACACATCGAATCTTCGCGCCTAAGAAGTGTGTGTTCTACCTAAATCGCATGATTATTTTTCTTTTTTAAAAAGCCTAAAAACGGCGTCGCCCCATCGTCGTTCTCTTATAATTAATTAATTAATTAATGAGTTAATTACGTTTTCTTTTTTTTTTTTTCGATCAGCCACATACGAAATTTCCACCGAATGTTCTTTGTCTTCATTTTTTCTCGTACGCGAACGTTTTTCATTTTTCGTTTTGTTTTGTTTTTTTTTTAATTTCGTCCGTTCGAATCGTATCAAACACACTTGCGATAGAAATGTGTTTGAAATTTTATTAATGAATTTTATTCTCCACATCTTTTCTTTTCGTTTTTCGTTTCGTAGTTATTTTTACTAATTTGAAAAAAAAAAAAAGAAAAATAATGCCAATAACAATTACACACCATTACAACGCTTTTTCGTTCAATATTATTCGCAATATTATTTTATTATTATTATTATCGTGTTTCAATAATCTTGATCCTTCATTTCTTTCACTTGTTTTTCCTTTTTTTCCGTTTTTTTTCCCCTTTTTTCTTTTCTTTTTTTCTTTTTGTTGTTTAAATTTAAATCACATTCCACTAACAATAAGTTAAGCCCAGAACAATCTCGAGATATGTCTTCGTTTGAGAAAAGAGTCTATAGTTTATGATAATAATATATTTGCTTTTTTCCTTTTTTTTTTTTTTCTTATACTTTATATATCGTTTATCCGTACACTCCTCTCTAAAAGTATAGAAATATTGGATTGCTATTTTTAAATCATTTTTTTCGTTCTATATCTGCCTTATCTTCCATTCCTTTTTTCTTTCTTTCTTTTGTCACTTCTTCTCCCATTTCTTTTTTTTCTTTTTTTCGTTTAATATTTCATTCTTACATTTTTTGAGAAAAAGCATACGAGAAAAAAGCCGTACACACACACACACACACACACACACACGCGTCGCGTTTAAACTACTACGATGGTTATATGCAGTTTTAAAGTTTAAGTATTTACGTAAATGTTTTATAATATTTAGTCTTTTGAAATGTTATTCTCTCGTGCGTGAAAAAAATAAATCTCTAGTCTTCGCATCTTCATCAATTCGTCTGAAAAAATCCTGCCCTTTAATTTCTTCTTAACTCTTTCTATCCATCATCTATCTTCGCTCATTTTTATTTCGCAATTTTTATACGACTTTTAATTATGACTGTTAGTTTACGTTCATTTCTTTCTCATTCGTTCGTTACCGGGCTCGTTACAGTGTTTCAACCATTTTCTATCTTTCGTTCATTTAGGTTTTTATTGCAATTGTGTTATTAGATCTGATTTGGTTTTTTCTTTTCTCTACGTGCGCGCGGATTTTATTTTTTTCGGGGGGGGGGAGCAATTAATTTTTGCGCTTTCTTAAAAAAACAGACATTTTTTTTTTATCCCAACAAAATGATTAAAAATATAAAAAGAAAAACAAGGGAAAAAAAAACAATAACAGCGTAGTATTTTTAACGAGACGATACGTGTCGTGTGTTAACACAACACACGTGCCAATTTAAAACAAATAAATAAATTGCTAGTATAACTCGATATATCTAAATATAATTAAAACAAAAAAAAACCAAGAAAACGACAAAAAAGAAAATCAAGTTGCCAGCGAACTCGATGGTTTTCAAATGGCAGTGGGATGGGGTGGGGTATTTCTCTTGTTGGCTTTTCGTAACAAACGTCAAGTAATTTGTTTTTTCTTTCTTGTAGTTTTATCTCGCCGAGAGAAACGTAAATTTAATTATCCTCTGGGTGAGACAAATAGAAGAAAAATAAAATAAAATATCCGCCATTTAAAAGAAATAAGTTTGTTCTTTTAATCCTCTTTTTGTATCTTCCCTGTGACTTCGTCGTCCCCTGGGAGGGGGGAGGGGGAATTTCGAAAATGTACTTCGAAGAAAAGTACAAAAATCGAAGTACTCTTTCATTCTTTTTTCCTTTTTATCGTTCATAAACAATTGAAGAGAATTATTTCAAAGTTTTTACGACGAACTTTCTTCTTTCCAATTATTTCCAATCTTTCGTTTTGATTTCGTCAAAAAAAATCAATTCATTAAATATTTTAATTGTTTTTTGGTTTACTCTGTTATCTCGTTCTGGTTGATGTTACTTAACGGAAAAAGAAAAAAAGAAATAAGAAAAAAGAAAAGAAAAAAAAAACACACAACACACACACACACACACACACACGACGTGTCTTCTTCCCCTCTCTTTTTTTTCCCCCTTATTTCCGGTTAATTTTTTTTCTTCTTCTTCTTCTTTCTTTTTCTCGTATATCCTTGTCCATTTTCGTAAAATTTCACCAAAATCTCTGAGCACTGTCCCAGATATTTTTCAGACTCGATTGGAATTCGAAGCGGAAGTTCTGATAGTATCACGCTATGTTGTTACCGCTCATCGTCGTGACACACTTTTTTTCCGGAGTATTTTGACTCTCGGAATTACTGCGAACCGCTTTCGGTGGACTACCTGGCGTTGGATTCGTATCACCAGGTAAAGGATTGTTATTGTTAGTCGACGTAGAACTTCTTCGGCCATTTTCTCGCGTAGGCGATTTCACATCGAACACTGACGTGTCCGATTCCATATCCGAGTCGATCTGTGATTCGTTGTAGAAAGAGAAGTAACCAAAAAAAAAAAAAACAAAAAAGAAGATTATAATTAATGAATAATATTTATCATTCGATAGATCTTTTTTCGCGACCGGTGAGAATTTAATTCTACTTTATCGACTGAGTTTTAACTGACAACGAGTACGCCATTTTGAAAATATCTTATTTTTTGATAAACCGTTCTCGTGTAATTTATTTTCTTTAGAAAAAACATTGCGTATAATACACAGTACTCGATTAAAGAATGAAATTCTTTTTAAGATTACATCTCACCGATCGTGAAAATAAAATGTTAACTATTTTTTTTTAATTTTATTCTAACTCTTCGGTTTTTTTTTTCTTCAAACTAATACTAATTCAAAAAAGGGGAGGGGGAAGGTTTTTAATGAGGTATAAATTATCTACGATTAGGCGATAAATATGAGAGAGATTAAAAACTAGATTATTTGTTGGAATACTCTACGTGATATGATTTTCAAGCATGAAAGCGGCTAAATATGAGAGGGGGAAACGATAATTTTATTCATTATTATTATTATTATTATATATTTTTTTGTTAAAAAATAATAAATCTGTTCGACGAGAAAACGATGAAAAAAAGATTTTACGTGAATCGAGCGCACATCGAGACCACTCTTCGGGCATTAGCTTTCATTTTCGGCTCAGTTTTAATCCGGTACTAAAATTGAAAATCGTTATTACTGAGAACAAGAGGCAACAAGGGTGCCTCAAACCGACACGTCAAGAGCCACTTTTTCCATTTCTCTCTAATATTATTTTTCTATTGTTATAATTAAATGTGTATTATGTAATAATCATCAAAAATTGAAAACTACAACTACTCTCGAGTATTGCCGACATTTCTAAATTATAAAATGGGAAAATAATAAAATAAAAAAAAAAAAAAAAGGACAAGTAGAAGTTCTCGAGTTTGCTTAACATTTTTTTTTAAGAAGAATATAAAAGAAAAAAATAATAAAAAAAAGAAATACAAATACCAATAGAAATTCTCGAATTGACCTAACTTGCGAACGAGGACTCGAGAGAAACAAAAAAAAAAAAGAATAAAAAAAAATAAGAAATGACGAAAGGACGATGACGATGGTTCACTACCTTGTTGAAACAGACTACCTGTCTGGTAGCGGGATGAGGATTGAGAAAAAGTCTTTCGCTGGTATCGCTTCCGCAACTAGAACTTTCGCTCATTTCCATGGCAAACTTTCGAGATGCTCTTGGACTTGATGGTACTGCTCTGGTTTGTCCGCTTAAATTCAAACCAACGTTTCTAGAACATATTTGGGATTGTATGTGTTCGCAGACCCTCCTAAATCTTCGTATATTTCCTAAGAAAGATAAGACAAGAACGAAATTGTTAAGTGAGTTTAAAAATTTGTTTTAAAAAATATTAAAACAATAAAAAAAGTAGTAACGACATAAATTGCACAAATCGATTAACTTCATATAATGAGAAGTTAGGAAAATTCGATGAAATAATTAATGTACATTGATTTTTTACAATTCCTTTTGATAATATAAATTCAAATAAACTTTTTGTAAAGAAAAAGAGAAAAAAAGCGCTTGCTAGTGCATTTGAGTTGCATTACTGCAACGATTTCCATTAGAGTACGGAATTAATCAAAAATAATCTCTAAAATAAATTATTTATTATTCAGTGGTCAGAAAAAAAACTATCGTCGTTTTATGTTTGGCTAAAATTTGTATGGCGTAAATATTGAAAAAGTTATGATTATACCACAAGTGCTCTCTCTCTCTTTTACACTTACAATTAAATTCAAAAGATTTTTCAAAAAGTCGAGTTAATCGATTTGTGGATTGAACGGCACGCACCAATTTATCCTTCTTCGATCTCATCGGACGATCAATATTAACGCACACTTTTTTTATTAATTAATTAATCAAGTCTCTATATATTATCAAAGATATCTTTGTTCAACGAAATAATAAATATAGATGTGAAGTTGTGCAATAAATATCTGATTATATAAATATAGATGGTGCGGTTTATTGAGATTAAAATTAAAAAAAAAAAATTAAAATAAAAAAGATTAAAAATATTTGAAAGAATAGGAAGTGGTGCAGAGATTTTTGTATATAATAATCCCCATTGCAACTTTAGATTTACCGAAGTATGGAATACGCGTGAAGAAACATATATAATATATACATATATATAACCGAGTTCCTTGGCCCGTAAAATATACGTAGATAAGATTTAACGCGGTATGGAGAAGGCGTACGTGCCAAGGTAACATCGATCTAGTTGCGCTTGGATGGCTGCCAAATGCCAAACGCCAAACCACTTCTTTCTTCTCCCTTTTTCTACTCCCTTTTCTCCTCCCTCTAACTCCCTCATTCACTCCGTCTCTCTCTCTCTCTCTCTCTCTCTCTGTTTCTCACATTCTCGGTTTACGGTGTCTACAGTCAGACTTTGAAAAGGGCTTTGTACCTTCGGTTTTGTCATTCGCTTAGCCGCATCTTTCATTCGGCATAAACTCGTGACAAGGATACATACGAAAGAGAGAGAGAGAGAGAGAGAGAGAGAGAGAAGCGAGGAGGATTGGGGCAAGGGGGAGGAACGAAAGGAAAGGATTCGAAGAAAGAATTTTGTTCGTGTATGGAAAAACAAAAATACAAAGAGTCGCGATCGAGTGATAAATTATTCGATGTAGAAATTAGTTCGGTACTTGAATGATATTTTAAATTTATCGTATTAAAATCTTTGTTCCTTTTTTTTTGTCTCGATCGTCAATGAATTTAAACAAAGTTGTTTGAAAAAATGGGGACGGGAAGGAAGGTAATGGAAAAAATAAATGGTAATTATTTTATGATCACAGACGTATGATTTACTTTATAAATATATTAACTTTAATTTGTTTAAGGAAAAAATAAGTAAGGTACCGAATTAATTCCTATCATTTGATATTAATATAAAATGGAGAAAATTATATAAAAGATTGTTTTTTAATGATAATATAATATTTACCACTTAACAACGAAAAAGTAATGGCGAACAATGGCTCGTTAGGCTGTTTTGTGATACCACTGATGTCAACTTGAAATTTAACCTGCCGTTGAAACATAGCAGGTGCCGTGCTACCCTTTTTATATTCTACTCTGAATGCCATTGGTGAACACACACTGTGAGATAGCTCAGCTATCTGCGAATCGATACAAATATATATAGGAAGAGATATATGCGTCAGTAATTATGGATTAAAAAAAAAAAAGTGTTCTGATAATACGAGTCAAAAGATTGATTACAAAAAATTAATTCTACGATTTATTTTATGATATTAATTGTTCTAATATGAAATAAAATATACCAAATTGTCAAAAATACAAATCGCGTCTTCGCGAATGAAATTCAGTTTTTTTTTTTTTTTTTTCAATCAAATAGCACTTTCACATAATTATATTATTTTAATCGATATGATTTATTGTATATTACAAATAATGAAAATATTAGCTTACCGACAAAAAAGCGTGAATCAAATCAGCTTTCACGCTAGCTAATGGTTTCCCTTTAACAAGAACGGTAAAGTTTTCGTCCTTTTCTGTCGTCATAAGACTACCAAACCAGGATTTTTTCGTTAACTCTGGTGAGGAATCTGGTGTGAGATGAACCTTGAATTAAAAAAAAGATAAGAATAAATATATGTTAAAAATAATTTCGATTTAATTCAATTAGGGGGAAAAAAATCAATGTGGAATTAGTTAAAATGGTTAAACGTTTATCATTGGAGAAGAATTATTATTCGTAAATTTTGGTTACCTCTTCCGTACTGGTAAGTAGTTTACGACGATGGAATCTGGGACTACCTAGGAATGAATTCTTCAAGGTGGTTAATCGGGATCTCCAATGATAAGCACCGGAACCTGCACCAGTGTGTGGCGAACCTGGTGGTGTAACACCAACTGCGACCACTGTAAAACGAATCGAAATTTCATCGAAATTTTTTTTTATCTTTTACAATAGAATATCGAATTCCTTTATTGGAACACAATAAAAATGTTCTTTTTTTGATTTTATATTTTATAATAATCTGTTGGATCCTAAAAGCGGAGAGAAGAGAGAGAGAGAGAGAGAGAGAGAGAGAGATGAATTCTACGGACAAATATGGAAATGCGTAAATTTATTTTCATTCGAATTCGAATCATTCCAAGAGCAAGCAGAAAAGTTTGAATTAAAATCCGTGTTCCGTATGTTTTTATATATTTTTGTTTTTAAATTATCGACGAAATCGACGATTTATTCATTATATTTCGTCGCGAAAGAAATTCGATGATATTTTTTTTGGACAGTATTTTTATCATCAATGTTTAATAATAATAATAATAACGTTATATACTCTGATATAATAATATTAAATAAAATTAATAAAATTAATATAATGTTATCAATATTGTTTAATTAATCATTTTAGAAAAGCTCGTATTCGCGCAACATGTTTTCATTTTTATTCATAAAATTATATCGGTTTAAATTTTATACTGTAAAAAGAAAAACAGAGACACCTTGTATATACAAGGATGAGAGTTGAAAAGTTTTAAGATATAATATAACAGAGAGTGTTTGACCGACAAAAAAAAAATAAAAAGAATTGTTTCTATCTAATTGTCGGACCTATAAATTTTTCAATTCACCCACGTAAAAGAACAAACAAAATAAAAAATATTATATTTACGGATGTATTTTTGGTGGCAAAATTTGTCTCCGTCTCCTTCTTCTTCTTTTTATTCTTTGTTTTTTTTTTCTTCTTTTTCTTTTTCATTTTGTAACACGTTAGCACACATCCCTTTGAATAAAAATTTCTCGTGCAGTGTACTCTCTCTCTCTCTATTTCTCTCTCTCTCGTTAGAGTAAAATCCACGCTTGACAGAGGTCAAGCTGCATATTTTAAAGCGTCTCAAAGCAGTTCGAAAAGATAAAACGCAGTACTCAGACGTCGACGAGGGTAGTAATGCCCTCGGCACGAACTTTGTTCGGACTTTCGTGCAAACACTTTGGAACGGTCGCGATTCGTCGTCGAGCGAAAAGAAGAAGAGCATTTCGCAGTACACATTGTACAAATGACGATTTTTTTTCTTCTTCTTACTTCTATCTTCATTTTATTTTCCTTCTTTGACGTTAGTCGTTAATTTGTTTGGATCATATTTAACATTATTTTCCAAAGTAATACATATAACCCTAAGTTTATCGTAAAATTGTCATAATTATTATTGCATTTGAAACATTAACACAATTATCTTTAATTAATACAAGAAAATATTATCCTAACAAATATGTAGAAAATATGGACCGTTTGTTTTAAAAATTGTATGTAAAAAAAGTGTCCCTTTATTTGTTTTTATTTTTATATTTAAAACGAGATATATGACACATCATAATTCGTGATCAATTTAACGTTAACTACACATTGTGTAATTAGTTATTGATATTTAATATCATTAAAAAAAAAATGCCAAAAAAAGGGTTTAATATAGATTATTTTTAAGAAACATTATCGTAATTGATGTCATCTTAGCAGGAGAATTCGAGTTAAACATTGACACGCGATATTCTCAAGACGATAAACACAGGGATCTTCTGACGTAATTCGATAGGATTAGAAAGTGTTAGGGTAGTGTGTGAGATTAATCGGCTATGATAGACGAGTCTAATACTACTCGTACAGTACTATCGGAATTAATTTCGTATTATTATAACTAAATAGCTTTAGAAGTTTTTTTTTTTATTAACACTCCTGTCCCTGTGTATCATAAGTTAATAAATTTAATTAATATAATAAGTGATTATATATTATATATATCGCGAATCCTCCTCCCCTCCTCCTCCCTCTCCACCAATATAACTTTTTTTTTCTTTTTATCCAACACAGTATAATTGTAATATCACGTCATAAAATGTATTAAGAAAATTTTACAAAAAAAAAAAAAAAATTATATTATATATATTGATAGATAGATTCATTTTTTTCTTTATTCTTGAAAGATAAAGGATCGAGTTCGAGGACACCTTGTATACGTATAGAAACGGGAAATGGAAAATCAGGAAAATTACATTTTCGGAAGGACTTGAAGTGACACGAGAAACGTTAGTGCGATTGACGGATTTTCGATGAACGTTACTAAAATGAAGAGAAAGATAGAATGCAAGAGAAAGAGAGAGAGAGAGAGAGAGAGAGAGAGAGAGAGAGAGAGAGAGAGAGAGAGAGAGAGAGAGAGAGAGAGAGAGAGAGAGAGAGAGAGAGAGAGAGAGATAGAAATAGAAAGCATTATTGCATTTGATTGTATGGTTTGGAAAATTAATCATTTGGAAAGTTGCTGAAATTTCGAATAAGATTTTAATAGACATCCTCTTCCTCTCTTTCTCTCTCTCTCTCTCTCTCTCACTCTCTCTTGCTTTGCCTCTTTCTCTTTTTTTTTTCATCCCATAATCTTTCTCTTTCGCATACGTGGTTTCGGTTTAAAAGCGATGTCTGGCGCAGATATCAATTCGATTATAGGTAGCTCGTTTTTGTCGTCGTCGTCGTCGTCGTTTGACAAAGCAATGATGATGTTCGTCTGTATTTGCCTTTTCTCTCGATACGTTTTATCATACCAATCCATTTTTCTCGAGTAATACATCAAACGATTTCGATTAATCGATCCTCTTGTATGAAATAAAACTTTCATCGTTTTTTTTTTTCCGTGAAAAGAATAGTTTTCAACTAGTTATGTTCTATCGAATTGCTAAATAGATGTTGAGAGGGAGAAGGTGGAAAAGGGAGGAGGGGGAGGAGGAGGAGGAGGAGAATTACGACAAGGGGTGGAATGATTTATTGATCAATTGATTGATCGATAAATTCATTTAAATTCATACAACCCGAATATTCAGATTTATTCATATCGTCTAAGTCAGTTTGTATTCTTTTCCGAGATTGCTTTTACGAATACATTCTTGACGGAAAACAACTTTGCCATATTTTCTTTTCCTTTTCTTCTTTCTTTCTTTCTTTTTTTTTTTCTTCTTCTTCTTCTTCATGGATCGTTTACAAAAGCAGCTTACGAAGAAGAAGAAGAGGAGGAGAAGGAAGAGGAAGATTTTCATCGAGAAAACTTGTTAAGAAATTTCTCGACGTTTATTATTATATATAGGGTTAGGGTTGTTACTCAAGTCGGAACCTTTGAAATTTGGAATTAATTGTTCAGCAACTTCGACAATATTGATTCACGCGATTAGTGTTTGTTAATTAATTCTTATAGCTATTGTCTTATAATTTTTTTTTGCATATGTTTGCATAGGTTTTTTTTTAACGATATATTATCGATCAATTTTTATTACTTTTTAAGTATTTTTATGTGAAGTGATATTGAAATAACCATTTTTTCTCGATACTATTATCTTAATAGTTCTATTTATCGTTTTACTATATTTATTTGTAATAAGACACGTGTTGTATCTTTAATCATACTCTCAAAGTAGATTTTTAAATCGTATTTTACACGTATAACTTTATGTTGAAATATATTTTTATGAATATGATATGTTTATATATCATAGATTAAATATATATAACAAAAACTAACTTTTTATTATACATATATTACTATGTATATAAAGATCAATTAATATATTATCTAATTATTACTATTAATTATTATGTTAATATAATCAAGATTTTTTTTCTTATCCAAAATTTATTAATATTATTACTAAGTYTACTCTTAGGGAAGTTGTTTTTTTGGACGGGTTTAATTAAGATGAACACAATATTTATCCGTTGAACGTTTCGTCTCTATTTGAGACTTCCTCAG